CAGGACAGACCACTGAGGCGGCACTCCATAGGGAGGGTGGTCTCCGTCCCTATACGTTTTGTAGAGGGAGCTGAGAGGTAGTTTTGGGACATTAGTGCCCATGTGGTACTGAATAAGAACATGTGTCACCAGTGGTCTGTTTATAATGATTGCTTGGTGGGGGCTGCTGCAGAGGTGTGGCCATTCTTTAGCAAGTAATGGCATTTAACCTCCGTTCGTCAGATACCAAAACTCATGAAGCTGACGTTTCCTGAGCCCCCTCCACATGGAGACCTGGTGTCCTGATATAACCTGCTGTCTATGCCTCCCAGTCCTCTGTGGGGGAGACGGCCTCCTCATTTTGCAGACCTGGAATGTCCAAATGACTGCTCAGGGTCAGGGCAGGGTGGGTTTTGAACCCAAACAGCCCAACTCTAGAGCCTGCACCTCTAACCACTGCCCTTCTTTGCCTCTCAAGCCACACATCTGTTGTAACCTAAAGGCTTGGAAAGTGTCCCCCAAAGTTTTAGGGAATTGGAGTCAGTTCCCTGTCAGGGCAATATGTCAACTCTCGTTGTGAGTACCTTGGATGTTGTCTGTAGAAGTCCTGATTTAACTGTCAAGTGCATCTTCTATGTCCCTGGGCATGCTGGGAGATAGCATGTGCAAAATTACCCCAGTGAGAAGCAGTCTGTCCAGCTAGTCCTTAGGGAGGCAGACACTAATGTTGACGAAGGATTTGAGTGTGTCTGCAGCACTTGCCACTCCGGTGAGTACTGTGGCCCCTGATGGCTGCCCTGCGTAGTGGGTAGTGAAGGATGAGTGGCGGGGAGGAAGTGAGGAGCAGAGGTGGAGAAGGAGGGAGGGAGGGAGGGAGGGAGGGAGGGAGGGAGGGATGGAGGGAAGGGACACTCCAGAGAGGTGGGTCCAAAATGATCTGGTAGCACTTAAGTCATGAACTGCTTGTCTTGCCTCACCTTTTGGGACCGGTGGACAGATGGGCAAAGTCACTGAGGAAGACAGAGATGAGAGCCGGGGCACTAGTCCCAGAAAGTTCCGGAATGGAGGTGATGGTGGAGGAAAGGCACCCTAACCCTCAGCACTGTGAAGGTCCTTACATGGCAGTGGGTCCTGGCTAGTTCCGATCAGCTTATAGTGGATTAGAACAGGTCCTAAGTCCTCTGTGACTGGGAGCACTTGTAAAACAGGGATGAGGGGGAGGGGTTGGAAGGAGACTGGAGAGAGACAATGGGGATATGTAGTTACACAGATACATAGAGGGAAGCCACCCATGTGGCAGTGGTGGCAGAGCTTGGAGTGATGCAGATTCAGACAAAAGTCTTCCTCAAATCTCAGATACCACCCAGAGCTGGAACAGGCAGGAACGATCCTCCCTAGAGCTACTGAAGGGAGCCTGGCCCTGCTGATCCCTTGATGTTAGACTTCTGGCCTCAAGAACCCTGAGAAATCTCTGCCCTAACAGCCCTCAGGAGCCCAGGGAGAGCCTCCCAGGATACACCTGGGCCTCCAACCTGGTCCCTGTTTAGCTTTCTAAACCATTTCCTCCCATGAAGCCTCAAGGTCACACTGTAACCTGCGTCCCATCCATGCCCATGTAGCTGGTTCTCTTTCCCTTTGGTAGTTTTGGTAGGAGGAGCTTGAAATTTGGGAGGTTAATCCTCCCGCTCCAGGTCTCCCTCCGTTCAGCTTGAACCAGACTGCAAAAAAGCAGTCCTGTTCGACCTCCTTCAGTGACCCTCAGAGCATGGCCTAGGAGAGTCAGGGCCGTCCGTATTGGAGCTATTAAATTGTCGTAAGAAAGAGGCCTTTGTCGCAGGAACACAGCCCTCAGCTCAGTCACAGAGACAGATTGTGCCAGAAAACAAATAACAAAAAAAAAAAAAAAAAAAGAGTTCAACCACAACATTCTTTGGAACTCAGTCATCTGCCTCTCATCTGTTCTTAAAAGACGAATTTCCTTTTATCAGCGTAATTCCTTCAGATAGATCATTGGCTTATAATTCCAGCCAGAACAAAGAGCCCTGTGGAGACCCTTGCCCAGACCATCTGCATGGCCTGCACCCTACTCTGGTAAGCATGATCACAGGCCTGCAGTGGGGAGACAGAGGGCCCCCCTCAGGTGCCCAGGAGAACCGGGCCTGCGGTGGAATTTTCAATAGGAGTCAGCAGGACTAAGTTATGAACACCCCAGCTCACAAATCTGCCTTCAAATCCCAACTGATATCTGCAGATCAGACCCAGGGGCAAAGGACCACTTGACCCACATGGCCCTCAGGTACTGCCACGAGGCCAGGAAGTCTCGTGTCTCTCCCCACCACCCTACCTCTCATCCCCCCCACCACACCACCACAAGTCTTCTCAGAACATTTCCCACAGAACCTTTGGTTCTGGTAGCCAGCCTGGGCCTTAAATCTGTGCGTGGGACTCCTTGATGAATATCTGTAGAGGCTGAGCAGGTGGGAGGCCACTCTTGTAGGAGGCCCGGAAGACGACCTTGGCCTCTGGGGAGGGAGGCCCACATCCTGGTGGCAAAAATGAACACACTCCTAAGAAGGGTTTAGTTTCCAGTGCTGTGGCTGGAACTCAGGGCCTCCTGCGTGCTAGGCTGCAGTCTACCCACAGCTGTAACCTCAGACCCTTGGTTAGTTTGTGATAGGAGCTCACCATGGAGCCCAGATGGGCTCCAAACCTTAGATACTCTCCCTCCATCTCTTAGAAAGCTGAGATTACAGGTGTGTGCCATCACACTGGTAAGAATGAGCTTTAAAAAAATCAAGATGTGGCTGGGGTGTACTTCAGTTGGTAGGGTCCTTCCCTAGCATGCACCAAGCCTTGGGTTGGATCCCCAGCATGACATAAACTGGGCATGGCGGCACATGCACGGTCATTCTGAACTATGTGATAGGTTTGAGGCCAGCCTGGGATACATGAGACCCTGCCTATAAATAAATAAATAAGATGCTAAAGAAGATATGTCCATATTTAGAAAAGACAGGACAATTGTGTGGGGTGGGGCCTCTGCCTTGTCCTTCTCCAAGTTCCAAAGCCTTTGGTTCAAGTAATGAGCATACATTAGAGCCATTGAAGAACACAAAAATCCAGGCTCTAGCTCTGACATGGAATGTAGCCTGTCAAGGTTTGGCCCCAGCATCCGCAGTTCCCAGGGAGCTCTGATATGCCACATAGTATGAGAACCAGCTTTCCAGATGGAAGGCAGGGAAAGAGAGGCTCATGACCCCCCACCTGCGTGACCTCTGCCCCTTCTGCAGGGGCCATGTAATCCCAGACAGGAGTCTTCTGCATCTGAATGCATCAACTCTGGCTAAAGCTCAGCGAAGTTAGCTCAGGTAGGTGGCAGTGAGAGACAAGGACACTGAATTTTATGTCCTGAGGATTGGAGTTACAATCCAGTGCAGAGTGACATGCAGGAGCCTTGTTCCAAAGGCAAAAAAAAATGACTTTTTTCTTTCCTCTGTGATAGTTACCTTAGTGTGCGATGCTGTGTGTGCATGTATGTGCATGACCTCTTTAACTTTTATTAATAGAAAATATACATGCCTAACGTTTACGCCCGCAGTCATCTTCCATGGTGCACGGCCACATTGCTGTACCGCCAGTACCACCATCTGTTTTGAGAACTCTCTTTCTCGTCCCAAGCAGCCTTGTACCCATTTAACACCAACCCCTCCCTCCTTCCCGGCACCCAAGCTCTCTGCTCTCTCTCTCTCCACAGCTGACTCTCCTAGAGACTCTGGGATTTGTCCCTTTGTGTCTGGACCTGCCACTTAGCATACTCTTCCTGAGGCTCCTCCGTGATGTATCCTGTGTCAATTCCCGTCCTTTTCAGGGCTGAGTCATAGTCACGCTCACGAATGGACCTTATTTTGTTTCCCTGTTCACCGGTCAGTGGACAATTGGGTCATTATTCTTCCCACACTCATATGCACATACACAGTGCACACACTCACATGCACACTCAGGCACACAGTGCACACACTCACATGCACACTCAGGCACACAGTGCACACACACTCACAGGCATGTACACATACACACTCACGCCCCCACCCTGTGCTGCAGGGGCAGAAAGCTTGTTCCTCCAGGCTCCAGTGCTCCCGTGACCTGGTTGCTTGGACCTTCCTGTCCGTTCTGCTGTCTACTTTCCTGGCTTGAGCCTGCCTGGTCTGCTTGGCTTTGGAGCTGCTCACCTCCTTCCTCACTGGCACCGTCTGTCACTGTCACTTTTGGCCCAGGATTTTTTTTTTCTTTTTTGTTTTGTCATGTAGCCCTGGCTAGCCTGGATTCAAACTCATGCAGTCCTCCTGCCTCAGCCTCTTGAGTGCTGGAATTCTAGGTGTGAGCCACTACACCTAGCTCTGTTTTTCTTTATGTTTGTTGTTTTTATTATTTTTAAGAGGTCTTACCAAGTAGTTCAAGTTAGTCTCAATTGCAATCCTGCTGCCTCCACCTCTAGATGCTGGAATGACTGGCCTGCCCCACATGTTCAGCCCCAGTGTTTCATTCCCCACCTGGACTCCTCCCCTTCCCCTGACGTGGACTGGCCCCCCTCTCACATTGTTTGTCGCAGTGTCTGTCACCTGTCATTGCACCAGGCAGGGACACCTGGTCTACCCCCTCCTGCTGCAGATCATGTCTCAATGTGACCCATGGTATTAACTTTCATATTAAAAGTTCCATTTCTATTTTTCTCTCTGCGGTTTAGTAAAATACACAAAATCGTATCCCTTGGCCTTGGACTTTGCAGAGGGAGAAACAAGGAAGTGTAGCAGGGAGGGTCACCTCAAAGGACTCTGGAAAGTTCCTCTCCTCACCTAGGAGAGCTGTGAGAACAGTCGGAGCCAGCACTCAAAGCTCACAGTGCTGCTGTGTGAGCCGTGACAAGGGCAGGATCCAAGACTGTGCAGGTGGACCTCCCATGTCCTGTTAGTTACTTTCTGTTAAAAATCTGATTTTTTTTTTTTTTTTTTTTTTTTTTTACGTAAATTAACCCATTTATTAGAGCACAGGCAGGTCTCAAACGGTATGCTTCTACTGGTCTTTCAGTTCCTTCAGTCTTCTGATGGCGGACTTCACTGTGACAGCAGAAGTCGTGTTGTAGGTCCAGGCTCCACCAGCCACTGTTTTCATGCAGGAACCACAGTGCCAGATGCCAACGGCTCGTCTCTTCATCTTGGTCTTGCCACAGAAGGAGCAGGTGTACTTGGCGTGCTGGCTGATTTCAATTTTCTTCACCATTTTCCGGAGGGAGGCACCATAGCGGGTCCCGTATTTCCCGACGATCCCGACCTTCTTGGTGCGTTTAGCCATGTCGCCGGAACCGAAGCCCAAGCCGGAGAGCAAAAATCTGATTTTTTAATGGAAGCTCATGAGAAGTTTTAAGATACATATACTTTCTTTTTTGAGATAAGGACTCATATAGTCCAGGCTGGCCTTGAACTTACCGCGTAACCAAGGATGATGGTCTTGAATTTCTGATCCTCTTGCCTCTAGATCCCAAGAGCTGAGGTTACAGGCATGCCCCACCACACTTATTTCGTGCAGTGCTGGATGGAGATCAGGCCAGGCCTCACATACACTAAACAAGTGCCCTACCCGCTGAGCTCCATCCCCAGCTCTGGCTTCTGGTCTTGTTTTAGCCTCTAGGAGTTAGTGAGAATGGCATCTACCTTTGAGTGAGGAGCTGACATTGCCCAGCATGGCCAGCTGAGTTCTCCTGTAGCGAGTCAGCTCAAATATGTGTTAAGAATATGACAGCAGGGATAAAAATACATATGTTGAAAATCCTTGGGACCTGACTCCCTCTCCCCCTACCTCTGTGTGTGAGTGTGTATGTGTGTGTGAGAAAGAGACAGAGACAGAGACACAGAGAGAGACAGAGACAGAGTGTGTGTGTGTGTGTGTAATCCAACCTGCTCAGTCTATATAATGTTACTTGTATGTATGTTTTCAGGGCTATTTAGTGTGCTCTTCCCTGGGGAAGACTATTTCTCCCACTCTCAGAAAAGACAAGCAATTGATCTAATCACTCCTTTCTACTCATCCTCTGCTTCTTTGGCCCAGGCCCACTTCCCTCACACGTCCAGGGTGCATTTCCCATTATTCCAGGAAGCTGCTGTGTGCCCAAGCAAGGGGAATGTGGCAATGAAACTGCTATCTTGCTGCAGCCTTCATTCCTCAGGAGTCAGAGACCATGCCTGATACTAGATCATCTGAGAGGCCACAAGCAAGCCTGGAAGGATGGCACCATGTCTGGCAGTAGGGGTCCACTAGAGAAACACAACTAATAGGATGTGTGTGTGAACAGATCAGATGGAATTGGCTCTCATGGGTACAGAAGCTGGGAAGTCCAAATTCAGATTGTGGGTAGGGAACTCAACCTAAGAGAACTGATGGTTAAGATTCCACTGGAGGAATTCTTTCTCACTTCGGGGCCATGTCTTTTTGTTCTGTTCAGGCTTTTGATTGTTGGGGTAAGGCCCACCAGATCAGGATAGGCAATCCCTGCTCCATGTCACCAGTTACGATGTTTGTTGTGATGTGTAGCTTAGTTGGTAGACTGATTGCTTAGCATGCAGAAAGCCTTGAGTTCAATCCCCAGCACTGCATAACCAGGGGTGGTGGCACACTCATATAATCCCAGCACTCGGAGGTGGGGTAGAAGGACCAGAAGTTCAGGGTCATCCTTAACTGGCAAGTTCAGAGCCATCAGTGAGACCTTGCTCTAAAATACAAAATTAATAATAATAATATTTATCACCTCTAAAAACACCCTTATAGAAACATCTAGAATATCTGACCATCCCTGAGCATTCTATAGCTCAGTCGAGTTGACGCATAAAATGAGCCATCACCCATGAGACCCCTGGGGCCCACTCAGCTGAAGAACAGAAGCAGGCAGTCCCCAGACAGTGGGCTCCTTCAGCAGATAGCTGCACTGTAGCAGGAAAGGGTCTGTGTAGTTACTGTTCCTGCAGGAGTTGTGCTTGGTTGTCTGTCTGTCTGTCTGGAGTCTGCTGGCTTGCCTCTCTCTCCCTGTTTGGAGTCTCGCTTCTTCCAGCTGTTTGTAGTTAGAGGCCAGTTTTCGCCACACTCGGGCAGACTAGACACCATGGGGCTTCACGGCCGAGCTTTGCAGTTTGCCTGGCACCGATTACTCCATGCCGTCCATGGACTTTGCCTCCCTGGCCATTCGGTGGAATGAAGACCAAGAATGACTTCATGGCCCTGTAACAGAACAAGCATGTGTGTCCCTGTGGGTGTGGCTGTGGGTGTGTCAAGGGCGATGATTGGGGCTTTGTTCTCCTTATAATGGAAACGATGATGTCTTGAAGTGGCTTGAAGACACATGTGCCTTCTTTCTTTTTTTTTCAGTCTTTCTCTCCCTTCAGTGATTCCTTCCACTTCTTACCCACCCTGCAGCACCGCCCACATGTCCCTGCCCATACATGTGTACCAGCCTCTCTCAGGACAGATCCACATTGTTCCAGTTGAGCTGCCCACGACAACCTCGTTCATAACAAGGCTTACATTCTCTTTCCGTAGTCCCAGGAACCCCTGCTCCCATTTACAGTGCATCTCAATTTGGATTTGCATATTCCCAGTGTTCCCTAGCCGCCCAGGGCTGCCATATTGGATGAAACATGAATTTTAACTCTTGGCCGCACCATACAGTCAACTGAGGAGCTTTAAAATGCTGAGGCCAGGGCAGGAGAGATGGCTCCATAGTTAAAAGCACTGGCTTCCATTCCAGAGGAGCTGGGTTTGATTCCCAGCATGTACTTGTTGGCTCACAACCCTCTGTAACTCCAGTTCCAGAGGATCTGACTCCCTCTTCTGGCTTCTGTGGGCACTTTACACACACATGGTGCACAGATACACAGGCATGTCTATGCAGATATGCAGGCAAAACACACATATATATAACATTTTTTCCAGTGCTGATGTCTAGGTCCTAGCTCACAGCCATTCTAAGTTTTTATTATTACATTTTTGGGGGGTGTGTGTGCGTGTGTGTGTGTGTGTGTGTGTGTGTGTGTGTGCGTGTGCGTGCGTGTGCGTGCATGCTATGAAGTGTGAATGGAGGCCAGAGGACAACTTGAGGGAGCTGATTCTCTTCCTCCACTATGTGAGTTCTGGTGTTTGAACTCAGGTCAGTCTTGGCAGCAAGCACCTTTACCTGCTGAGCCATCTCACGGCCCCTGTTTTTATTTTGTTGTTTGTTTTGTTTTGTAACAGGGTCTCATGTAGCCCAGGCTATCTATGGAGGACTTCCAATCCTCCTGTCTCCACTGGAATCAGAAGCACGCAACACTACACCTGGTTTCTATGTTGCTAAGGATTGAACCCAGGGCTTCCTGGATGGTAGGCAAATAAATACTCTCCCAGGTACTGAGCTACATCCCTATCCCCTGGTGATTTTGATTTAAAACTGGGCTGCGCTGTGGTCTGGACTCCTCAGACAGCTGTGAAGCAGACAGTCATAAACCGTGGTAGTATAAGGTGCTGTCCTGGGGAGGCAAATCCCTCCTCTGTCATGGCTAGGCTTCTCTTTTCCTCCTTCCCTCTGAGACCCACACTGTAAACAGAAATTAAGCAAGCTCCAACTTGGGTCACAGAGGGGAGAAAACCAGAAACAGGAGAGTATTAAATTCTGTCTGACAGGCGAGAGGGGACAAGCCAAGCTCCCTTGTCTTCTTGGGATTGTTTACCAACAGGTTCGGTAAGCGTTTGTTTTACCACTGCCCTTTAAGCTCCCAAGGCATTTCCCATCCCCGCTGCCAGAGTGTTCTCTGAGAATCAAGGAGCCGTTAGGAGCACCAAATGTTTAGCATCGTTTGCCCTGTGCCTCTCTGGGATCTTCTGAAGGGATCGGAGGCATTTCCATGGGGAGTCTCCGTTCTGGACATAATGAAGGGATCAGGAAGGCAGAAGACGAGGGGCACTCTGCCAAGTCTGCACCATCCATTCCTCTCTGCCCTAGACAAGTGAACTCTCCATCTCCTCAAATAGAAACCAGCCCAGACTAACCACGGGACTCAGGTTTTCAAATGCATCCAAAAATGATTGTTTCAGGGAACTGATCAAATGAGGCATGAGTAATTCAATCAGAAGGAATGCAAACACAATCATATCTGGGTCCCCTGGTGTCTGGGTTCAGCTTCTTGCCAGCTAGGTAGGGCAGCTCACACACACCTGAGGCTCTGCTTGGCCAGTTGGTCTCTTATACTTCAGGGGTGGCAGAGGGCTGGTATCCATGCATCTGCAGGACCGGAAACTTGCTAAAGGTTTCCTGGAGGCTGGAAATCGGAGGAAAAAATATGCAGAGGAAGAGGGGACATGCTTCATCTTTTCTTTTCTTTATTTTTTTTAACTATGTATATGTGCATAGGTCAGGGTGTGTGCACATGACTGCAGATCCTTTCAGATGCTAGAAGTGTCCAGTCCCCTGACCCTGGGGCTGGAAATGCTGGGAACAGAACTTGGATCCTCTGCAAGAACAGTATGAGCTCTTAACCACCGAGCCGCCTCTCCAGTGCATCCTCTGTTTGGAGGGTGTCAGTTTTAAATGAATAAACTCAACAACTGATCCAAGAAGATGGTTGTTGTACTGTGTGCACCTGGGAGATGCATACGGCCCAGTCTCTGTGGCTGAATTATGTGGCTGTCGGTTAGGCTACCAGCCTTTGTATGTTAAAACCTTCCAGGATAGAAGATGAATTGGCCCCTCTCTCCTTGTCTAACTAGTCTGTCATCTTTATTTGCAAACAGTCAGCTAGGTCAGAGGTACAGCATATCTGCAGATAGGTGATACAGTTCAGTGCATTCTGCAGGGTCCATGGTTAGAGAGATGGCTTAGTGCTGCATAACTATGAGGATCTGAGCTTAGATCTCCACACCCATGTAAAAAGCCTAATGTGACCATGCACAGTCCTGTAATTTCAGGACTATGGGGAGTGGAGACAGGGGATGAGCCTTGCTGGCCACTGGGTTCAGCTCAAGGTTCAGTGAGAGACCCAGTTGTAAGGGAATAAGATAGAGGATGACAGAACAGAACACCCAATATCTTCCTCTGGCTTCCGTGTGTGTGTGTGTGTGTGTGTGTGTGTGTGTGTGTGTGATCTCCTGTTTATGATCTGATAAATGATGTCCCCATACACACCAGGACTTTGAGCCCTGGTTTTCTCTTTCTGTTCCCACAAGCCTAACATCCTTTTACAAGTCTTTGAATGGGTTTCTCACTTCTTATTTACAAGTATCTTTATCTTTATATTTATCACTTATCTTACACTATTTACAAGACATGGAAGCACAGCTCACCATTGCCTAAGCTAAAA